ACCACTATGTTAGCTATCCTGTGTGTGTGTGTGTGTGTGTGTGTGCGTGTGTGTATTTTCTCCCTTCTTTCTTTTCTCTTTTCCCTCATCCCAGTTGTTCTTCCCTTTTGAGCAAGTTCCTTCCCTTTCACAACGTCTATCGTACCTCCTAGATTTTATTCAGTCTTTCAGAGTTTAATTTTCCTACTAAAGAAACCCCCTCCCTCACCTTGTTTTCCCATGAATACGGTACATATCAGAGCTCATCCAGATTTCCTTGTTGTATGCTTGCCCAACTTGAAATTCTAGGAGGTCTCAGAACAGGCGGCTTTCATTACATATTTGTCTGGGAAACGCATCATGGAGAAGGAACATATCTAAAATAAAAACTGAAGCAGAACAATCTCCTTTAATCAGCAGTTGCCATCACCCTTTTCTGTCTTTCTGGGCCCGGGCCAAGGGCCTTGGAAGAACAATGAAAAATCATGAGGATAAGTGGAAAGACAATTCAAAACAGAAGGCCGCTTCTTTAGATTTTGAGTTCCAAACCAGAGACAGGAATTGTTAGGGGGGAATAGACTGAAATACATTAATTTATAAGGCATAGATTTTTCATCATTTGAGAGAGTGAAGCTCTGGCAAATGATAAAACCTTGGGAACCTGGCATTACTGATGTTACCCCTTAATGCTTGGCTGATTACATATTTCATTTACTCAAGAGGTAATCCTAAATATTATACAAAAAGAAATCTGACTTATAACACCGACTTGCAGAGTTGCACATATATATTTATGAAACAATACCTCTTTCTCCTTCCTACAAAATCCCATTAATTTGGTGAATGTTTTTTGTGCTAAACTGATTACCAAAAGACTGTCTTCATAAATAAAATAGTAATTACGTATTTGCTCCAAGAAATTCTCTTCCTTTCCTCTCTTCCAAGTGACGCTGCCTAAAGTACTCAAGTATGTGAAGCAAAGTTTTTGATCTTTTACTTTCTAGAAAGCTTTCTATTCAATCTCCTGTTGACGCTTAACTCATTGGTGAATTTACAGTAGGTTTGCAGAAATAATTTCTTGCTTGATGACTGGCTATTGATGAACAGATCATGAGTAAGAAAAATAAAGTTTCAGTGATCACAGTTAGAAAAAATTCATGGCCCTCTGGGGGCCATGAACATGCGTGCTCTAGGCTGTCTTTCTAAAATGGTGAAGAATTTGCACTGATATCTCAGCTGCTGTTTTTGCTGACCAGCATTACTCAGCTCTGTCTTCATGGACATTTAAGAAATGCAGAAGAATTGATCAGAGGCTTTCCACAATAACATCCTGCAGAGGATTCTTCTCAAGCCAAATACGTCATCTCAACATTGAACTCAATGCAAGAAAGCTACAGAAAGTTAGCTTGAATAAGAAGCAAATGCAGTGTGGACAACACCTTGCTTGTCCATGATAGGAGAGGTATAATAGTGAAAGTACTCTTCTGGAAATGTGGATCTGTCTTTTCCCATGTGCAACACTAGGCAAGTTACTTAACTTCTCTGGCCTCTTTTTGCTTCACCTGTAAAATAGTGTCAACAATACCTGCATTGTACAGTGGTCATGGAGTCAAATGAATCTATAACACCAGTGAGAGGTAGAACCTGGTAAGTGAATGGGTGGACCAGCATAAACTTAAGTCATAATATACAACATATACAAGCAAACAAACATGTCCTTGCAACTGGAAGAACCATTGTGGTATTTGCAGCAATAGTGCAATATAGAATTTCTTTGGGTTTGAAGAATTTTGATCTTGATAACAGATTCTTTTCATGATTAAAAACATCAGGATGCCTTAAATGGGTCTGGCTTAGCTTAGTTCAGATCAGATGAAGGAAAAGAGACAAGTCAAAATCATGATCTTTATTACTTGCTCTGGGATGTGTTTCTCAAATGTCTATTTAGGTGGTTGATGCAGCATGCTCTCACAAGTTCTCCATACCCAAGTGACTTCCTATGTCCTCACCACCCTACTACTCTTTTCTTCCCTGTGTTTTAAAATGAGTGACAAAGCTCAGTGCAAATATTAGGATATTTCTGCTAAAACTGCCTTTCTGCTAAGTGATTTAATACTTTGACCTTACCCCAGACACCCTGACACATGTGTTTAGTCCCTGGCCTAAAACACAAGAATAGGGAAAGAGGATGGTCTCAGATTCAGGGGCGTGAGAGGAAGAACGATGCCCTGCTCACTTGGGGTTTTGTCTTCCAGAGTCCTTGCTCGGTTTTCCTGGTTGCACCAGTATCAAGGCCATTGGATGTGTAACCGATGGTACACATCTGTCCTGCTGTTGCCCTGGTGACAATGTGTGGCCTTGTTCCTGGTGGTTTCTTTAGTTTTACAAGCTGGAGTACCCCGGGAGCAGAGGTGAGCAAGGGATCTTGTGTGGGATGTCAGAAGAGCCTATGTAGAGTTGGTTCGTGAAGATGCCCTTCCGTTCCTCGGCTGAAGCAGCAACAGCTGTGGTCTTACTCTGGAAGGAAAAGGGCCAACACGCAGAACTGGTGGGGCCTCTCATCTGGCTATCCTTCTGTGCTTACTGCTAAGGAAGTGGCTTTCCATGGTTATTATCAGCTACTTTAGAACTGCAAAGTATGGCGACAATAATTTCACATCAGTTTTTATTTAAATAATAACTTTTAAGCATATAAACTTTATTTCCCAGAGTGACTGCCCTACAGCAGTAAGTACTAAGATCACTTTCCTTGTCTTTCTAGCCAGGGGTGGGGGAGGACCATGACACTTTTCTCCTGTGTCTGCCACTTTGGTTTCCAATGCTACCTTGACCACCTGGCATTCTTTCTGAATAGCTATCAGTCGGGAATAGTGGGCAAGCGCGTCAGAGAAGAGCTGGCCTGAAAATGGAACAGCACCACAGAATGGGAGGCCAGAGGGAAAGGAAGCATCTTGGAGGAAGAAAATACTGCTTCCTGGTGCCTCCTAAAAGAGCTATCCGGCCTCGTGTGTTTACACCACTCACCAGGTCAACAGGGAAAGAAGCAAAAGAACCACAGGCTTCAGTGTCAACGAGTTCAGGCAATCGTGGCAAAGAGAGTGGGCCCCTTCTGAGAGAAATCTTTGCAAGCAGGGGGCAGTCAAGATATTTTGAGCTGTAATTCAGATCTGAGAATGAAAGTGAGTGGAGCGAGGAGGATGTGATACTTCAGCTGACAGCAGATTAGGCCATTTATAATGTAGTTGAAGTGCTGAAGGGATGTCATCACAATACATGGATACTCAACCCTAGGTTTCAGGGACACTGGCAAAACAAAGGGGTTAAGTTCATGCACTGAAATGAAAGTTGGCCTCCTCACTTATGGGAGCTGCACTTGGTATCCTTAGGCACAGAAAACTCACTAAACTTAGTTACCTAAGATCTGAGTTTGTGTTCCCACTCCGTTTTGTTTAATGTTAACTAAGATTTCAGACTTGATTGTTGTATAGTCTGCTATATTGGTTGTTTAAAAATATATTAAATACTGAATAAACTAGATATGGTGGCACATACCTGTAATCCCAGCACACTGAGGCAGGATAGTCAAAATTTTGAGGCCAGCCTGGGCAATTTAGTGACTTAGTAAGAACTGGTCTCAAATTAAAAATAAAGAGGGCTGGGAATATACTTCAATGTAGAGTTGGGTTCAATCCTCAGTACCATAAAAAAGTAAATGCTTACAAATGATATGAGTCAGATGCAAATGAAATTATAAATTGAAGGTCATGGATTCAATTCCCACCTTCAAATACCTTTGTGTCAAATCAACATTTTGGGGCAAATCTAACATGTGGCAATCATGGAGACTGTTTTTTAACATTTTATCTTAATCTAAATATGTCTGTGTGAATATGGTCACTATCTAATGTTAAACCACCATGAGAATCTGATATTTACCATTCACACATAGTATAACGTTTAATACATTTGTGGAGACACAATATTAAGTAGTAAATAAAAGAATCTGATTAACTATAATTGGATTTTATTATACTTGGATGTTAATGTTACTATGAGTTGGGGTGGATAAAGAAAAGAAAAGTGAGGAAACAGCTAATGAAGCAGAAGAGTCCATGTTATTATAAATAATTTAGCTTTTGAGAGTTTTGTGCCATTTCCAACTATGTTCCAGCCCAAGAAACACTGAAATTTATCCAACTAGCTGGTACCATTCAAGACATGAGTCTTTTTCTTTTTGCCTAGATGTCACTTTGCCTAAGGTAGAATTTGAAGGTATCTTGAAATGAGGTAAAGAGGTATTTTTAATATGTGACAAGATATCCTAGACCTATGGGACAAAGTAGAGGAAGACAAGGTCCAAGAATGAGAAGAACACCACCAAAATGATTTTTTTAATTTTATGAGATGAGCTGAACTTTGGCTATAGAAGCCAATGTTTACCTGAGATGCAAATGGGAGATAGATCAGCAAGTGATTACAATAATAACATAAGTTGTACATGAAATACACTAAAAAGACTCCCCAAAACATTAGTAAAATAATAATTCTTTGGAAAGAATTTAATCGTGATTAATCTGTGTGAATCACCACAGTTCTTGAACTTGAAGTAAACTTTGATTATTCAGCTGGAAAATATTTTAAATATTTCTATACACACACACACACGCACGCACATGCACACACACATGCACAACTCACATTTTTAGGTTCCCCAACTAGTAGTAACCAAGGAAAAATTTCCACTGTAGTTTCAAACCATTAGAGAGCAGATTTCATTTGTCCATATAAACTCAACTCTTGGGGCTAAAAGTGAGAGATTACATAGCTGATTCCTGGCCATCCTGGCTTTTTCCCTCTACTTTTGTGGTCCCCTGAATAAATCTGGGGCCAAGTTCTTGTAACATATATTGCTGAGTGGGAGAAGGGTAAGGAAGTGAAGAAGGAAATGCTATTCCCATTGTCTTCCACTGGAGAATCCCTGGATTGACTTCCTGAAATCTCCTTCTGTTTGCCTTCACCAGGAATGGCGGCCCTAGATAGTAAGGCATCAGGGAAGATGGGGATGCGAGCTGTAGTCTATTACATGACTACCACCATCATTGCTGTGGTGATTGGCATAATCATTGTCATCATCATCCATCCTGGGAAGGGCACAAAGGAAAACATGTACAGAGAAGGCAAAATTGTCCAAGTGACTGCTGCAGATGCCTTCCTCGACTTAATCAGGTAGGTCCTTACAAGCCTGTCCCTTGGGTATATTCTGACTACCCAAACCCCTTATTTTGGGGAGCTAGTCAAACTCTGGAAGAGGTATCTGACTGAACCAGCCTTGCCTGGCTTGAAATGAAGGTCACATCTCCACTTCTTTCTAACAGAAGTTGAAGTGAGGTTCTATTTTCTGGTATCATATGAAGAGGTGAGAAGGGCAAGGAGAAGAGATAGATTTTGAGAGCCCTGCTTTTAGGATTCAGAATCTCATCACTAAGTTTTCTCCACTGTGATGCTCACCTTGGAATATAAATAATTCTTAACCTACTTTTTAAGTCTTATACTTTAAGGCTGGTGTTTAGCCTAACCATTGAACCCCTAATTTAGAATGTGTATCATTGTTCATTATACAAAACTTTAGTTACCTAAGGGACTTTACAGATCTTTTGGTCATACATGTCCCAAACCTTTCTTTTTAAACTATTTGTGAAGGAAGGATTTGGCAGATTAGTTAGGATATCAAAGGATGAATTCTTTATCACTGTTTTATTACAAACCAGATATTGATCATAAATGAGTCATCTAATACTTGAAGCAAACTCAGTAATAGATGGTTGTTAACAGAACTGCGAAGTAAGCCAAAGATTGATTCTGGCACTTTCCTGCTTTGTTTTCCACACATCTGCCCTGTATTATCAGGTCTTAGCAAGAAGCATGCTGCATACTCAAAAGGAACACTGAAGAAAGTTTGCAAAGACTTAGGCATGGTTAAGGGAACCTCCCAGGGGTGATGAGGGACTGAGAGCTAGTAACAGTAGGAAGCCATTTTGTCCCACTCCTGGGTAGGAAGGGAGCTGTTAATAGAACCCAGAGAGAGCTGTAGCCATGGGAGAGGGGCTTCAGGGTAGGAGCTGTAGCTTTAACTGGAATAAGGGAGCTTCCACCAAATTTGTCAGCAAGAGCGCTAAGAGAATATATACGTGGACTTCTTTTTCTGTCCCACTGTCAGTGCCACTGGACAAACCCACGGGCAACCAGAAGGCAAGAGAATCCATATGCAGATTCATAGGAGACCCTAGGAGTCAACCAGTGTGCAAAGCAAACTAGACAGTAGATCTAGAAATTCTTCCTTTCTAGCTCTAGAGATTTTCCAGAACAGGCCTGCACATCCCCCATCTGCTTAGCACTCCCCCACCATGTAGCCCACCCAGGCTGTCCTCCTGAAACCTAGCAGCGAAGTGACTAGGAAAGGATTTCCCATGGCCACCTGAAGAAAGCTCATTCAAGGAATTGATTTCTTTGCAAGGAGTGGGTCTGTGGGAGTAAGATTCACAAGAGATTTGGGAGCCAGAGGGTCTCATCTCCAGCACCTCTCAGTTCCCACCATGGGAATCACACAACCCCATGATGTTTCTTCTTGAAAATCCTTTCCAGGGGAATTAATAACAATGAGCAAGTCACCCTCTAATATAATTTTCTAAGAAGTTGTCACCCAGCAAGTATGTTTTTAGTTCATGCAGTAACTTGAAACTTTTCATCATGTTTTCATGAAGTTTACTCGCAAGTAGTTTGTTTGTTTGTTTGGCTTTTTTGAGGGGGGGGGATTTCCGGTACTGGGAATCGAACTCACGACCTTGCGCTTGCCAGGCAGGAGCTGTGCTGCTGAGCTGAATCCCCAGCTCCCTCTCGCAAGTAGTTTGGGTTAGGAGTCTTTTATTACAGCCACTTTTCCTGTCATTTGTACCTCTGCCTGAAGAATTGGTATCTTTTCATTCCCAGTCTGATTCATCCATCAGAGCACTGTGAGTTTGTGCCCCTCTTTGCCCTAGTAACAAGATATGAATATCCTGCACCACCCAGGCACTTGGCTTCAGCATTTATCCTAGGACCTCTGGAATGTATCATCTATCATAGAAATAAGCCCAGAGAGCACAGATGAGAACAAAAGGAAATATGATGGGCTAGATAATAGAATGAAAGGGACAAGAATTTATAGCCTTAAAGTATGACTTTGAAAGCATGTAACTTCTGGAATCTCAAATAACTGCATGGATCACATTTTCCCCATCTGCCATCTTGGACCTGTAATGATGATTTAATCCAGTCTCCTCTTTAACAGATGAGTCAACTGAGACATAAATGGGTCTCATGACTTGGACAATGTCATGCTCCCCAGCCTCAGTGCTGCCTCTCTCCCAGAATGAGCTCAAACACTGCTCTGATACAGTCTCTGAGGAAGTGACAAGCCCTGCTACACGGGCCTCAAGATCAGATTTTGTGGGCCATCGCTCCACTGGCTTCCAAAGACCCTCAGACACTCCAGCAATTCAGTGCCAATGTCCCATCCCCCATTAGACGGTGGGGAGAATTTTTTGAAGAGTAGAATTTAGAGTCCAACCATGGGTTTTGATTCAGAACACTTGCTCCCTAAACACATAGCACAATAACTAAAATGACCACTGCTGAATAATACCTCAGTCAGTCACGCTGCTAATGATAAAAAGGTATTTCCAGTCTCACTTCAATCTTTCTAGGAGGAGTGTTTTTATTATGTAATATCCAAATAAGGAATCTCACTGGCTGGCAAGAGGACAGTTGAGTTGAATTGGTGCTTGCATGAAAAATAAGAATTGCATAGGCCACACTTAGTGATGACCATGTTCCATTTGAAGGCATAAAATCCTCCAAAATCTTTGTCTTTTTCCATTTGCTACTCAGTTCAGTGCAATCTTTACCTTAGACACAATCAAACAATATTGAAAGAACAAGCCTACTACAGTATTTGGGAAATTTGTCAAGTAACTGCTGTTTTCTTTACAGAAACATGTTCCCTCCGAATCTGGTGGAAGCTTGCTTTAAACAGGTAAACACTACAGCAACTCGTTCACTTTTGAAACTTTTCTTTGGCTTATCAAACCAAGTGAGAAGCCACCCATGCATGCATGGCCACTGCAGTTTCTCTGCACCAAATGGAAAGCAGCAGAGTTTTCTAGGAAATTTGGGGGATTGGGGAAAGTGGTTCTTACCTTGTATTGAATGCTTTCTAGTTGTCAAATAGTAAGTATCAGGTCTTACCCCCAAATAGCACATTGAGTCCTTGCTATTGTAAAGAGGGCTGATCAGGAGATCCCCTTCCTCTCCCTTTGCTCACATATGAAAGCCCACCAAGCAAACAAACTCCAGTATAAAACGCATTAACAACTTTCTTTTATTTTAAAGATAAAAGAACGAAAACATGTTAACAAACACACAGACATTTAGAAAATAACACAAAAACAATACCAGCAATACAGAATTTCAGACAACTTACTTTAAACAAGATTGAATTGGCTATTTGAGTTTCTAGGTTTGATTTTTAAAAATCTCTGGACTGTTCTTATTAAAATCTGTTCAAGACCTTCAGGATTCTAAAGAAGAACCATAGGAGAAACAAGTGGCATCAGCATATACAGAATGCCTGTTGTGTGCCATGCACTAGCATTATATTTAATCTTCATGTAAATATTGTGAGCATCATATCCTCGTTAGACTGGTGAGGCTCTCATTTATAAGAACAAGGAGAGTAAGTGATGGGCACAAGTTCTCCCAAATAGAAAATGGCACAGCCACCCAGAATTCAGATCCATTGTGCTGACTAGAGATTCCATCCACTTCCTTCTACTTCATTTGTTCTCCAGAAAGCTACATTCTGGCGATGAGACACTTACCTGGAGGCTAATGCGAAGTCCAGTTCTTTTTAGCCTTGTATCTAAGCAATTCTTGGCTCACAGAATTGTAAATACAAATATATTTTATTTTTAGGGAATAAAAAACAGCAAAGTTCATTCTAACCTCCTTTGACCATAAAAGCTTTGCTGCCCAGAATATAAAAAGGAAAACAGACATTCTGGATTAAATAACAGTCCCCAACCCTTCCTCACAGGCTGTCAATTCACCTACGTGGCAGCTCCCTAACCTTTCTGCTTGGAATCTTAAAACAAACAAGACAAAATCCCAACCTCAGGGAAAACAGTGTTTACACATCTAAGTCTCCTTTTATTTTTTCTCTTTAAAAAATTATTACGACTATTTTAATAGTGCATGTACACATTGTAAAATTCAAGCAGAATATTTTCTTTTAAAAAAAAAACCCTAAGAAGCCAAAATCTAACTTTCTTTGTTTAAAAACAGCTATAACCATAAATAATAAATCCTTTTCAACCCAGTCAACCAACCACAGCACCATGGATCTGACTATTCCAGTTATTTAGCTGGCTCTGGGTGATATCAAAAATGCTGATTTCCAGATCTTTCAGATGGGAAAGTGCTGATTTGTACAGATTTATTGTATTTGGTTTGGGAAGGCATTTACAGGATTTTGAAGGGGAAGCCTTAGATCAGAATGCAAACGGGGTTGCAATTTCTGAGTAGGCTGCAAACTGTGTTTAAGGGGAAGGAGTTGGAGACACAGAAAAGGCTTATGGGGATAGAAAATCTACCATGACAACTTATAAAATACCTAAGCACCCAACAGAGTAAAGAGATTCAGGAACTGACTAGATTCTTTGTTGTTTGAAATTACTAGCAGTACCACTGACTGGTCAGGGATGTGTCCACAGTATTGACAGCTAGGCTTGCACTTCTTTGGGAATAATAGATTCCCAACAGACCAGAAAGTCTCCCACTTACTCTTGGCAAAGAAATGTCCAAGCACTTCATGTTCAGCCATTCTTTCCCTCCCCTCTAAATCTAGTCAACATCTTTACATTATTACCCTCGCTGTTTCTTTGCAACCACCATTATCAAGACCGGGAATTCTACTCCCCTTAAAATCATATGGGGATGAGCTTCATTGTCTCATGTGGTCCCAGCCATATTGTTACCATCCCCTGCTAGGGGCATCTATGCAAAGCTAGGGAGGAAAGGTCATTTCTTCGGTTAGAAAAGGAATGCCGCTATGAACTTGAAGAAAATGTCATCATCAGCTACTCATCAGGCACCTATTCTTAAGAACTGATCACATCAGGAACAGCTTGATGACTGGTTATTTGGGACTTTTACTATCCACTGAAATCTCCAACTAAGTCTTATTCCTGAAGGACTTTGTCTCTGAGTATCATTAGCCAACATTAGCACAGTCTTGTAAAATTTACAAGATATTTTCATATATTATTTTTGATTTGATCATTGCAACAACTCTAAGAGGTAGAACCAATGCAGCTATTCTTGTTTCATGGCTGTGGAATACGGGAGAAAGGGGCGGGTGAGAATTTGTTTGTGAGCCTGTAGCACGATACCTGGATAAAATAAAAGGACTCTTGTGAATATTAGGGTTTATAGCTTTTTAAAAATCCCATTATCGTCATTTTATTGGGGTTTCAGAAGAAAGTAAAATCACATGTGTGTGTTTAATCCAATGGTTTTAGCTGGATATCTCCTTCCTACTATGATTTATTATGTGCTTGAGTGCAAGTATTATATGTATCTGAGTGTATCTAGGTATGCCTGTTTGTCTGTTGAGGAATATGGGTTTACCACAGATATATAGAGAAATAGATGGTAGATGGATGGATTAATAGACAAATGGGTAATTTCTATAACATTCTACTTTAAATACAATGTAATGCTTATTATTGTGGAAAATTTAGAAATGGACAGCAGAAAGAAAAAAATAAAAATCAGTTTTAATTCCTGGTATGCTTTTTCTTTTTAAGTTTAAAACCAACTATGAGAAGAGAAGCTTTAGAGTGCCCATCCAGCCCAACGAGACTCTCGTGAGTGCCGTGATAAACAATGTGTCAGAGGCCATGGAGACGCTCACGCGGATCACAGAGGAGATGGTTCCAGTTCCAGGATCGGTGAATGGGGTCAACGCCCTGGGACTAGTTGTCTTTTCCATGTGCTTCGGTTTTGTGATTGGAAACATGAAGGAGCAAGGGCAAGCCCTGCGAGAGTTCTTTGATTCTCTCAACGAAGCCATCATGAGATTGGTTGCAGTGATAATGTGGTATGTATTTCTGTTTGCTACATAACTATATAAAGATGCGTAATGGCATAAAAATACATGAAGTGCTAAGAAAGACACCACCAGGCCAGATGGCCAATTGCAGTGATCTCACTCTGGTAAGCACAAGAAAATCAATGCATTTCTGAACCTGTAGAGATCATGAACCCATATGTAAGCCTCTCAGTAAGTTTACTTCCTTGTTTTCAAAAGGTGTCAACTCCTTTACCACAGTGCCAGTGGAATCCCACTCCTCACTGGCCCATTTCACATCCCACAGTTATTAATTGCAAACATATTTATTGTCTACTATATGAAAAGCAGACTGTGCAAGGCACTGTGAATACAGCAATGAAAACAGTATGCAAGGATGTCCCCTAGAGTTTTCATTTTTGAAAGGAGACAGACATGAACAACTAAATAAATCATCCAGGTGCTTTAGTTACAAGTGCTGTGAAAATACAAAATAACCTGCATGGTGAAGAAAGACCTCTGAGTTTGCTAAGTCCTGAATGCCCAGGTGAAGCCAATCCCACGAAGTACCCAAAGAATAGCATTCCCACCCGAGAGAAAAGCAAACGCAGAAGCCCTACACCATCGGAAGAACTCAGGTCTCCTCTCTCTGTTTGAGCCCTAAGAAAGAGGTGTACACACCAGGGCTGGCGCAATGTACAGAAGGCCTCGTGGGAAGTACTGTGGAACACAAGCCACGATTTATAACAGAACTTCCTTTAATAAAGCTGAGAGCAGGAGACAAAGAAAAAGACTAAATCCAAAGAGGAACACTGACCTTGGAATGTAAACTTTCCCCAGCAGGGAGAGAACACTTTGCTTGGTTCAGGCCTCATGTGGGGGTTGCTTTCCTTTTATCCTTTATTTTTAATATCCAGCTCTTTCCTGGCACCTGAGGCAGGAAGGCTTCCTTTGCTATGAAAAACACTCACTCCCCAACATGATTAAAAATGCCCTTTGTCTCTAGTGGCACCAAAGCCCAGAGAAATCCATGTTTTAGGAGTTTGCACAAGATAGATACGAACTTGGGCACAAAGACAGGTCAGAGTGTGATCTCCACAGGAGCCTCCAATTGGAAGGCTCCTTTGAAATCCTGGCAGGGCTGAAAGTGGACATTTATCTTTATATTATTAAAATGTCTCCACCTTTCACCTCTTCCATGAAAGAAACTCATTCAAGGCCACTGAATGAACCTCACATGTAGCTTTTCTAGCTATACATTTGCCTATACATTCAACGCTGAGTTATTACTTTCATGAAAACAGATACTCCTATAATTTCCTGGTCTGCATCTGTAAAGGACTTTTGAAAGAAGCACTGTACTGTTCAGTTTGCAATAAGTCCTCTGCAGTTCCCAGAAGACCCTTTCCCCAAGGGTGATAGCTTCTCTGCTTTTGGTAATGTGAGTTTAGTAGTAGTTCACTGCACGCATCAGAAAAGAGGTTTGAAAGCCAGGCAGCAGAGCGTTCGGGCAACAAGTGTTATGACAGCATGTCCAAGTCATTTTGTTGTCAGTCATTCATTCTCTTCGGGGTCTGCAGGAGAAGGCTTACAAATGGCAGGAGCAGCCTGAAGGCAATAATTACTTAATTACAACACCCGTAACCTAATTGTGGTAGAACATGCTTGCACATTATTAACTGTAATAACTATGAATTTATTTATATACTATTTAGAGCAAGTGATACTAGTTTTCCATTTGCACTGTAACGTAAAACTCTCTCTTAAAGTAAATTCATTTAAGTAAAAATGATGACTTGAAGAAAAATACTAAGTAATGTTTAAGTGATGTGGAAATATGGAGAAAAGTAATAAAAAGATCCCTGGAGTAAGAGAACAGACTGTAAATCTGCAACATGGTGTTATGTGTCTCTTGCTTGAACTCAGGAAGCAGGCTGTGATGTGGATAATTTGCCCAAAAGTGTGGAGATCCGTCAGGTGGGTTGTGGCAGTTCCAGTACTCGGCAGTGTTCAGAAGCAAGGGGAGGTGTGAAAACCAGTAAAGTGGCCTAGGTACAATGAAAGGAGAACTGTCTAGTACAGAGGAGAACCACTGTGCCTACCTTTTGCAAAGGTGTAAGAGGGAGGGGCTGGGGATTTAGCTCAGCGGCAAAAGCGCCTGCCTGGCATGCGCAAGGTCGTGAGTTCGGTTCCCAGTACCAGAGAAAAACCAAAAAAAAAACAAAGGTGTAAGAGGATAAAAATGTGTCTTAGAGCAAGACTGGGTGAGAAGAAAGCCTGATACAGCAATATCCAGGGAAAGTTTATGCTAAAGAAAAGGAAGAAATTTACAGTTTCTATAAATTCTAAAAGTATCCCGGGGAATTTGCATGGAATAGCCCATTAGAAATCAGACTTTCAATCATGCATGTGTTGCTTCTCCATAGGTACGCCCCTCTGGGTATCCTCTTCCTGATTGCAGGGAAAATTGTTGAGATGGAAGACATGGGTGTGATTGGAGGGCAGCTTGCCATGTATACAGTGACGGTCATTGTCGGCCTCCTCATTCATGCAGTCATTGTCCTACCTCTCCTCTACTTCCTGGTAACCAGGAAGAACCCTTGGGTCTTCATTGGAGGTTTGCTGCAAGCACTCATCACAGCTCTCGGGACCTCTTCAAGGTATGAATGCCTGGATTGGTGAGCTTTTCTGTCACTGAGACAAAATACCTGATGAGGGCAACTTAGCTTAAAGGAGAGGTTTAACTTGGCTCACAGTTTCAGAGGTTTCAGTCCGTGGTAGGCTAGCTCTAAGGCAGATATAACATGGTGCAAGTCCATAGTGAAATAAATCTGCTCATTCCATGGTGTCCAGGAAACAGAGCACAAGGGAATAGCATGGAAAGAATGGGACCAAGGACCTGATGCAGTCCCTAAAGTCACACCCCATCCAGACACACCCTGTGTGTGCTTTACTAACCTAGGCATCATCTCTCAAGCCAATCAAAGAGACAGGCAAGCCTAACCATCACACTCCTCCAAGACAATGTGTCTAAAATTTGATCTTGAACTCGAGCTTCCCAGGTTAGAGGTAGATAGAGGCATTTGTGCTGGGTTCTACACTTCAGGAATAATGAATTTGCCTTTTCATATCTATCTGGGATACAAGGAATTCTTAAATTCATTGACCGCATATTCCTTGTGGGGGACAAAATGGAAGTCGCCTATTCATTGCGATCACCTTCTTGCAGTTGAGATGGCAGAGTGACTTGGCACAGGGTACTGTGATGGGGAAAAGTCATGAGTGAGGCCTCAGAGGAACCCAGAAGCAGGACAGCTGCCAAGTGACCCCATGACGGGCCCACATTGTTCCTACCCCTGCTCCCCTTTTATACAAGTGCTGACTTAGTTCCCATTAAGTTACGGAGAGGAAGGAACTGTCTGCCCAAAAGACCAAACACAGACAGAACTACAGGACCCTCAGCTGATGCACCTTGTTTTACTGTTCTCAGTTCTGCCACCCTACCTATCACCTTCAAGTGCCTGGAAGAGAACAATGGTGTAGACAAACGTGTCACCAGATTTGTGCTCCCTGTGGGGGCCACCATTAACATGGATGGAACAGCCCTCTATGAGGCTTTGGCTGCCATTTTCATCGCTCAAGTTAACAACTTTGACCTGAACTTTGGACAGATTATTACAATCAGGTACAAGAAAAGAGTTCAAAACAATGTTTTCTTAAGAACCGATTTTTAACAAATAAGATAGAGATCAAGGATGGATGAAGAAGGGCTGGGGATGGAGCTCAGCAGTTTAGCACCTGCCTGGCAAGCGCAAGGTCGTGAGTTCGGTTTCCGGTACCAGAAAAAAAAAAAAAAAAAAAAAAAAAAAAAAAAAAAAAAAAAAGACCCCGAAAAAAAGGATGGATGAAGAAATAGTTGGGAAGAGAATCCCACATAGCCAGGAGGTTGGGGGTTGGGGGAATAGTTAGATATTTTTATTAGCTATGACAGATGTACATGCTTATTAACAACAAAATGAATAACAGAGAAATGTATAAAATGCAAAGAATAGCTTTTCTGCCACCATATCACTGGGTCTTTTTGTAAGCAATCATTATTCATGTCTGGCTTGGAAAGAACTTTGCCTATGCATAGACACATGTCCATTTCTTTTTTTTTTTTTTTTTCATACTAGGAATTGAACTCAGGACCTCATGCTTACCAGGCAGGTGCTGTACCACTGAGCTAAATCCCTGGCCATTTCCTTCTTTTTTTTTTTTTTTTTTTTGAATTAATCATACATATATACTGAGTACTTTTTGACTGGTTTTCTTATCAATATATCATTTACAAATCAAGTTCATTCATTTTAATGCCAGTAAAATGCATAGTATGGATAGTTTTCTTTTTAAAAAGTTAAGTTATACTTCAATAGTGTGTTAGCTTTTATAGGCAATACTGGAAAATAAAAATACACTTGCAAAACTGGGTTAATTTTTTGTCTGGGGTTAGTTTTTAGGCACTATAAGAAAGATGACAGATCATACTGGCAAGTAAGATTGAGAACTTGATTTTTACAGGAAATTTTTTAAACTATAATGTTCAAGGTATTTAGTGAAAAGTAATTTTCTTTTTTAGAGCTTTTCCCAATCTCTTCGTTTCCTTCTGCAGAGGCAACCAGTGTTATTCACCAGTTTCTCTTGTACCCTTTCAGAGATAATCCATGCATATCCGTGTGGGAGTGGATATCCCTGAATCCCACCCCCTTTTGCCTACTGAAAGCTACCGGGTATCAGGGAGCCAGGGGTCTAATGGCCACAGGAGATGTTAAGCATCATGACCCGCATCTGCCTCTGCTCTTCACCATTGTGTATTTTGTTTTTAATTATTTTGAACAATATATCTTGAGGGTCAAAATAGATCAAATTTTTTTCACAGCTTTTTATTATGAAAGTTTTTATACATATAGAAAAGCTGAAACAATGTTACAACAAGCATCCTCTACCTAGACCTAAAACTTGTCAACATTTTACCTTTTTTGCTGCCTCCCTGCATCCCTGCTGTCATGAGATCTCACCCGTACTTCATTCGAGGTGCATCTCCTAAGAATAAGGATAAACCTCTACATAGTCACCATAGTACGAGTCTTGAAAATACTTCCAGAATGTCCAGTATATCTTCAGGTTTCCCCAGTTATCCTCAAAATGTCTTTTATAGCTTTTTCTCCCAGACCAAGACCAAATCCAGGCTTATGTGAAACATTTGGTTTTATGGTTTCTTTTCATCTTTATCAGTAACCTCACATTTTTGTTATGTTTATTTAGAAATAAGTTATCTCAGGCTCTGTATATATACTGTATGCTGCTGGGAAAGGGTATTAGCTGTAGGGTGAGACTGGTCATAAGATCATTCGCTGAACTAGAGGTTGTGGGAACCCCAAGCCCAGTCTAACCGCTCTGAGAACTGGAAGATCAATGTCTCAGCTCACTTGTGACCTAGTCTTGAGCATACTCTGGCATATTGATTGAAAAGCCCTAAATCGGAAAAAGTTTCAGTTACATGGGACAGAGTTAAAAATAATGAGAACAGTGTTAATGACTTAAACAAGGTAGAAGTTCACTTCTCTTTCACGTCTCTGCTCCACAAAGCCCTCAAAGCTGTTAGGTGTTCTGCTGTGTAAGGGACCAAGGATGTGATTCCAAAATCTCTCCGTATTACTCTTTCTGGGTAGTCTAGAATGGCTCATCACCACCCCCAAATTTTAGCCAGTAGAAAGTAGAGATGTGCTATAGCCTTTAAGTTAACAGATCACTTCCCTCAAAAAAGAAATTCCACAAAACATTGAAGTAGAAAAAAAATAGGTCGCGTCCACCCATGCCTCATAGGCTACAACTAAATCTAAGCTCCAAAGCAATCTGGGAAATGTTGTCTTCATTTGGAGTGCCATATACCAGCTGAAAGTGCTAGTACCTCTGTGGGCAGTCCTGCCACAGACTTAGTGCTTTATTAATACCATTTTATATCTAAATATTATTTATAAAACATTTTTATATTCTCACATCACCCTATCAAATAGGTGTTTAATAATCTGAGTTTCAAGCAGATTACACACTTGACAAACCAGTCCACATTACCATTACCACATTACCATACCCTCCAAAAATTTAGAGCTACAGAACATTGTGTATCAATCATTTTGCTTTTGAATTAATTTAATTTTTTCTGATTACATTAATTGTACAAGTTTAGTCTCTTTATAACCCTCCACTTGGATAGGCAAATTATTAGGAACAAATTGTTACTGTAATCCTATGGCATTATATATGTACAAACACTTTCAGGAACATGAAGAAGAATATAGACATCAATTCCTCCATGTAAAGATGGCTGTAATAGTAGGACCTCCTTCATGAGGGTTGTTGTGAGATTTGCATTAAATGTTTGGCATACCAGATAAAATGCAATAAGCATGTGTTGAATAATAATGTGATATTAGTGCAATAAGTTTTCTTTTTTAAACTCATTTCTATTTTTCTGAAGTGGGTCCTCCTCTGGCAACATGACAGTCAGGCATTGTTACCAGGTGTGTTTTGCAGGGTGTTCTCCCCAAGGTGAGATTTGTCAAACTGCTTTCTGTCTCGGTGTTTATTTCAACAGCATCACAGCTACGGCTGCAAGTATAGGGGCAGCTGGGATTCCTCAGGCGGGCCTGGTCACCATGGTCATCGTGCTGACATCTGTGGGTCTGCCCACTGACGACATCACGCTCATCATTGCAGTGGACTGGTTCCTGTGAGTATGTGTGTTCTGCATTCGCCTCAGTTCCCAGGGCACCAAGCAGCCTGGCATGCCTACTAAGAGAAGCAGGGGAAGAGGGCCAGCTTGGTCTGAAATTAGACTTTCCGCATGGCCTGATCCCTGGCCCGAGGTGCCGTGTGCACTTATTCCCCATCAGCCTGCAGGGAACATCTGGCTGCCATGCTTCTCACCTCATAAGCCTTTCAGAGTTGGGAAACCTGCTCTCTGCAAGCCAGCATGAATCGGCAGGGCCCTGTCTGGATTGCACAACACATCCCCACAGTGGTCCCACACACTGGCTCCGGCGCTTCCTCCTTGCACTTCCCATTCCAGTGGTGAAATGCAGGACAGATGTTCCCATCTGAGCCGCACAAGCTGAGCCGGGGCCCTGCAGACGGTGGGAAGAGACCTATCGTCATTAAGAGGAACTGATTTCAGGCTCTGGGAAAGTTCTAAGAAATGTAACCCTGGTCACTGGGGCTTATCCCTGTGTCCTCTTCCCTGTGGTTCCAGCTAACATTCTCCGCCCTTTGCCTTTCACAAGTTTCCTTCCAGTTTTGAAAAAGTTCTCTCCAGGAAGCCCAAAGCCTGTGCTAGAAGAACACACTGGGCACTGTGATCCACATGCTGACTTTACTAGAACTGACGGACATGAAGAGCCACGAGTGTGCCCTAAGCCCGAGTCCCAGCACGGGCTTCTCAGTCACTGGGATCGTGGCCTGGCCCTTGACACTAGGCAGGCCACCCACCTCCCTAGTTTTCACCTCTGTTTAGTGAGAGTGGTCATGTCCTCTGCTTCCTGTGGCACTGTGAAGGTTAAATGCAATGACACATATGCTGGCACTGAACCCCTTGTAAGTTTCCTAACTATTCATATGACTAGAATCAGCCTAACTGCTTCTACACCCGATGAGTCGATACCACACATTGGGTAACATTTGCAAAAGCCTACTACATACTTTTGAGGAAATGAGTATGAAAGGGAAAATGACACTTTAGTTCCATTATACAATAGTTTGCCCCTGAGGGCCCCCAAGTGTCTCTGAACCACACTTTGAGAACTACTGGTATAAAGGAAGGTGAGTGGGAGGACAGAGAAATCTTACATAGAAGGAGGAAGTGAAGGGTCATTTCCCACCACTGGTGTTCTAGCTACAGTCACCCAGTAACTGCAAATGGACTGTCTGTGTGGTCTTAATAATTTTTAATAGCTACTCTTATGAGGCTTATATTCTTGTAAGTAAGCATGCAATGGATAGATACACCACACTGAACTTTAAGAGATGCTTGTAGCTGGGTGTGGTAGCACATACCTGAAATCCCAACACTCCGGAAGGTAGAGGCAGCAGGATTGCAAGTTTGAGCCCAGCCTGGGTAACTTGCAACTTGGCAACTTGGCAAAGCCTTGCCTCAAAATAAGAAAAAGAAAAACAAAAAAAAAAGATTGAGAATGTAACAGTGCAAAGGCCCTGGATTCAATTCCAAGTACTATCAGGGAAAGAAATAAGGGAGGGGAGAGGGAGGGGAAGGGAGGGGGAAGGGGAGGAAGAGGGGAAGGGGAGGGGGAGGGAAGGGAAGGAGAGGAGAGGAGAGGAGAGGAGAGGAGAGGAGAGGAGAGGAGAGGAGAGGAGAGGAGAGGAGAGGAGAGGAGAGGAGAGACAGAAGGAGGCGGGAAGGAGTGAGCTCCTGAAGACTTTGTCGGCTGGTTCACAGTATAAATTGAAATCTCCAGATATTGACGGGAGCCTCCTTTTCCTCTCCTCCCACCCCCCACAGGGACCGCCTCCGAACCACAACCAATGTCCTGGGTGACTCCCTGGGAGCCGGCATCGTGGAGCACTTGTCACGACATGAACTGAAGAACAGAGACGTTGAAATGGGAAACTCAGTGATTGAAGAGAATGAAATGAAGAAGCCATACCAGCTGATTGCCCAGGACAATGAAGCTGAGAAGCCTCTGGACAGTGAGACCAAGATGTAGACTAACACAAAGAGACGCCTTCTTGAGCACCAGCGGTTTGACACCATTGTGAAATGTGTCCATCTCCTTAGGCTCATTCTCTCCAGTGAGCCCCTTCCCCGCTCTTTTCTCCCCACTCCAATAGGACTGGAAGGTATTCACCCCAAAACAAGGGAGGATTTTGTGGCAGCCAAACTGTATCATTTTCATCCCACTTTTGCAATTTGAAAATCATCTCCTATTAGTTTCACCTAATAAGGTAGTAGGATCAAAAATCATCTTGATCAGGTCTCACAAATTTATGTGGAACAGGATCCCACAAATGTGACTGTTTTATAAGTTAAAGAATCTAACAAATAAGCCAAAATATTTTAAGTCAACTTTCAGATTACAAAAATCCTTCAGAACGTTAGCTTCAAAACATAGCAACTCAATGAAAAACAATCAGCTGTCAGTTGGACAGTAGAAGAATTTTTTTCCCTCTCTCTTCTGACCCGTGTCTTCCTTTTATTGGGAGGGGGAAAATATACAGATGCATCCCACACAGCTGTGAGGAGGGGCAGCAAGTGAAATTTCCATGCAGCCTTGAGCAACTTGCATCTCATCTCTAGGCCTCAGTGTCCTCATCTGTCCAGTGAATGACTTCCTTAGATGCCTTTATGGTCTTGCTAGCCCAGACTTCCTGTGACATCACAAAAGAGCCTGCCCTCAGTTTCTCCATGGAATACCCTGCACCACATATCAGTCAATGGAGTACAGGGCTCTGAGAAAGAACACTTAATGGAAGTGAACATTTCCACACTGGGACAGGATGGTGTGTGGATCACCAGCTCTGTATCCAAAACGTCAGTTCTGCAAGTCATCAGGTAGAAGGCCATTCCAGGAGAGGGATTATTCATGCAGCTCTTTGCCTAATTATTTCCAACAAGAGAAGTATCCCCTTTTCTCCTCTCCCCAACCTGAAGGGACTGCTCTGGGGAGGATGTCTCCCACCACTCAACTGACAAAAAATCTTTAGGAAATAAACAGAGTAGCAACTACCAAGCGTGCTCGTGGTCTTGCTATGGAACACTACAGAGCTAGAGAAGACGTGATCACGACTGACCTTAAAGAGAGGATTTTATCATACAAGAGGTTAGGTCTTCCTTAAGGAGAAATAAAGAAGAGCTTCATTTGGGTCTTTTTTTTTTTCCTAACCTGAAACATTTTCTCTTTTCAGTTTAGAATCATTCCCCCAAGAAACGTACATACAAAAATATTACTTCTTACATATTTTTGAAGAAGTCCCATGAATGCACTAGTACAGGTCCATGAAAATATTTTTTACTTTAATCAGGTCTTAGAGAAATGACATACTTCTTTGTGTTGAAATCCCCACTTACTAAATTATTCAGAACTTTTAGCTAGAGCAGGGTTTGCTTTAGTTTTGTCCGTGTTCCTAAGAGATACAGTAGAAGACAAATCCGTAGAAAGACAATGTCGATGAGGTTGCAAAGAAAGATAGGAGTGGCATTAGTTCCAGGCAAGGCAGCTCCAGGTTGAAAAGATTAATTTTTGTCCCCTAAAAGAATATTCAGTCAAAGACACTCAGTAGGAGCCATCAGACAGTACCAGCTGTGTTTGAGCTTCTGCCGGAAAATGGTGAAGAATGGACTTAATTATGCTAACAAACTGAAAATCTAGACCTGCACCCTCTGATACACAATTAGAGATTTTTTATAGAGATCTTGAGCACCATGTGCATACAAAAGTTAACCTTAGGCTGTGTAGAGTAATCATTTAATGCTGAGGCTCTATTTGGGAAATACACTACACAAGTTAATGTACGAGGCTGCCATCACACTAGTAGAGCAACAATTAATTGTGTCAAAATAATTCTGTTACACAGTGTGATGTTTTTTATACTAACCGTTTCTTATGAAAGCAGGTCCTCTAGGGCGATCCTCTGGCCGGGCGGTCACAAGCTCTGCATATACACGTGCCTAGTGTGGACCAAGGGGCGTTACTGTATAGGTGTATTTTCAATAAAGAAAAAATAGTTTTACATTAATACGCTCATGTGTTGTTATTCTTTTCCCTGAAGGAAACTTAATTTTCTGCTCGTGGAAGTATTGCAATGAGCTCAGGGCAAGCTGGGGAAGGATGCCACGTGGCATTGTAAAATCTTGGCAGAAGGCGCTGAGGGAGTCGGCCCCAAGGAAATAAGTAAGGACATGTTCTCCTGTCAGTTGCTAAAACTGGAGGTGGAAACTGGACGAGGTGAGGGAGCCAGCCTGCACTTACTTGTCCAGGTCAGATTCAAATTTCTCAGATAAGTGGAACCATTTTCATGTTGGGATTGGTGAAGTGTAACGCAACCACGGGACTCTTCCAAAAAATGATTTCCGACCTTCAAATTAAGCAGATTTATCTGTGTAATTGCTAGTGCTGCCATTTGTGAAAAGAGCTGAGTAAGAGTTCAAGGGACATCTCAGAGCCAGCCATGGTGCTAATGAACCTCTCTTTTCATAAGACAGATTTATGGATGACTCCTTCCCCACCTGCTTTTTCATAAAGAACTGACAGGAATTATCGTGAGATCTCCAGAAGGAGGTTGCGTCTAGAGACCCTTTCATCTGACCCTCTACTCGAAGGGGGCGGTCACCTAGAGGAAACGCTCTGAAGTCATGCCCGTGACTTCTAGGTCTTCCGTGTGAAGACTCCAGTGGGTTTATAGCCCTTGGAATTGTAAAGAAAATTCCGTGCATTGGCCTGATTCTCTGGGTGAAATCTTTAGACTCCATCAGTTTCTCTACAGGGTCTTGTGACGCCCCTGAAAATTGCAGATCCACTGTACTGTATTTGATCAATACATTCTAACTTTTTTTCAAGGTATAAAGTATATAATATTCATGTAGCCAATTTGGGAATAGGAAGGAGGCTGCTCAGAGTCCAGAGGAAGAAAACCTAGTCCCCCTAAGGAAATCAACATCTGCACGCTTGGGACACTCTAATCACTCTGAAGGCACCTGAGGGCCCACATCCCCCCTCCGCCACCTCCCCCCACTCCGTCCAGGGCCAGGCCGTGCTCCCTCCTGCAGCAACGTCCCCCCATCTGCAGCCTAAGCTGGATTTTGCAGTGGTACCAGGTTGAGAAGCTGGTCACCGGCCCGGGAAGACTGAGGCAATGGTTAAGGGACAGGGCAGTTCGATTCCAGGGTGACCAGAACAGAAAAAGCAGGTACAGTTCCCTATACTTCGGAGTCACAAATCTGCTCACAAATGGGACCGTGGAAAGTTAGTAAACGCATTTCACAATTATTTTTGAAATCCTAGACCCTCGGAAGGTAGGGCCTGTGCCTTTCTATTCTCATATCCATCCTGTCACCAGAACTGTCCAAGCCAAGCAGGATTCCTTTTCCCACGTGAAAAACCTCACTTTACCAGTAAAATCCTCTGCCCTGTGCCTTGAAAACAGAAATGGAAGAGCTGTTAATTGCATGGGTCTGAAGGAAGCGTGGAAGAACGGCTCCTTTCCCGCTGGAGGGAGGCTTTGTGACCGATTCTGCCGGGTCGGCACAAGGCCTCCTTCCGGGCGGCCCGCCGGGCCCTTGACCCGAAGCTGCTGTCAATCATCCGCGGCCCCGGACCGCAGCGCTCCCCCTTCCTCCACCCGGGTGGTCCCAGAACTAGGGCAACAATGCCCAGCTCTGTGTGGCCTCGTCCTGGGGCCAGAGCAGTTGAGAGGTGTCACGCCTAGGGCAGACTCCGAATGAATAAGCCGACACAAAAAGAAGAAGGAAGGAAGGAAGGACAGAGGGAGCTGAGGAGCAGCGTCCTAAAAGGGAAAGTAGAGATGAGCAGTCGCTAGGCTCTGCGAGGCAGGGTCTGGGCGAGCGACACCCAAAGTAGCCACCAGGGGGAGCACGAAGCTTACGCTGGGCCGATTTCTCAGGAACCCTAGGAGCGGCAAAGGATTCACCTATGAAGACCATCAAGCTGGCTAAAACTTCTCAAGGGCCCCCAATTCACGTTTCCCTCTGGTCATCCTGTTTCTGTAGTAGCCTCTCCAAGAGAGCGCTCTGTTTTTCTGGGCACCCTCTGTCCTTTGTCCCTTATGTTTTTCTTGCCTCTGTCCCCCACCTCTCTGAATCCTGCTGGGGAATCTCATCTTCCCACTCTGTCGCTTGCTTTTTAAGTTTCCAGGCAAAGGTAGTGTGGTAACATTTCCCAGAGGCTACACCTCATCCTGCCCACAAACTGCTATCTCAGCCTTCAGTTGTGAAACGGCCACAAATTCTGCACCTTCTATGTAAGGTTGTCAGATAAAATACAGGACACACAATTAAATCTGAATTTCGGGTCCCTAACAAATAATGTCCTCATATAGATGGTAAATAATCAGGTGTCAGTGTAAGTATGAACAATAGGGCGTTAGCCCTGCGTTTCTATTTGTGAATCTGGTAACCCTACATTCAAGTGACAGGAAGAACTGAAAAGGACTGATGTTTGCCTCGGAAAAGGACAGAACATACATGAGAGGGTTTGTATGTTTGAAGAGGGGGCATTTCCTCACTTTTTACTGTCCCTCTGAAGACTTTCTCTTTAAAAGCGTGCTTTTAAAAGCGTTTTTTCTTTTCTTTTTTTAAAGCGTTTTCTCTTTCTTTTTTTAAAGAAAGAAAACTTTCTTTAAAAGCGTGCTTTTAAAAGTCCAGATCGAGGGGCTGGGGATTTAGCTCAAGCACAGCGCCTGCCTGGCAAGCGCAAGGTCATGAATTCGATTCCCAATATGGAAAATAAATAAATAAAACAAAAAATAAAAGTCCAGATCTGACACTTCCTACTATTTACTTGTTCCGGAGACGTTATCACTCAGTCTGTGCTTGTGAAGCTTGTGACCACAGCCGAAAAGCCTGATGAATCGCCTTTAAGACTTCATAGAACTGTCTTAAGTAAATTCAGCAATGTTTCCGTTAGCCATGCTTGGGATGTTTTAAGGCTGGCATCTGGTTTTCTTTTCTTCCCTTTCATATTTAATCCTTCCCTGTCTCATTCCGTATTTCCACCACCACCCCCCAACCCAAGATAAAGTGTTTTCAGTAATCCATCAAGGGCTGACAGATTTGACACTCACGCACTCTTTTCCAATGATAGACACATTTTTTTTTCATTTGGGGGCAACTTTTAGAAAAACACCCAAGTTATTTTTCATGTATTACTATTCAAAGATAATCATTGTCCAGTCACTATAAAACTGGGAATGAATGAGGCATTTCTTAAAGGTTTTCAGGGAACTCCAGCCTCCATGAATGGGAATAATTCCTACAAAATACCCTTCTGCAAGCCATGGCTGAAGGATATGAGAAACAGGGTCCAACCAGTACTGCAGGACGAAACAAAATGAAATCATAAACTCTTTCCCAATAATGACATAGACACAGCCACATTACAGATAGCAGATGCAGAGCAGCAGATCTGACACTAGAAGATAATGTCAGGTGGCCACTTGGGGATTTCTTTTCCAACTCTACAGGGTCAGGCATCATAAAAAGTCCTGAAAGCAGCTAGCCAGGAGCCTCAAGGCAGAGCTGTCTCAGGAGAAAATAAAGACCCTAACCTCCCAAGGTTTTTGTCAGCAACGCAAATCTGAAAACTCTCACCACATTCCACCGCCTTGAAACTATAGTGCCTTAGAGAGGCACTTTTCCTTTAAGCCCCTGAGGGGCTATTAAGCAACAAAATAGAAACAAACCTGAGAAAGTCAGTGTGCATGTTAGGTAACTATCCTATCTAGGCTTTAAAAAGCTTCATCCTTCCTAAAGCCTAAAGGCCTCCGGCTACAAAGTGGTGTTTGAATCCAGATCACAGTGATGGGTTGAATCCTCAGTGGGAAACACAAATTTTCCTTTTTCTCCTCTCCCTTCCCCTCCCTTCATATCTGCCCTTCTCTCTCCTCCTTTGTAATAGAGATTAAACCCAGGGCCTTCACACTGAGCTGCTTCCCCAGCCCTTTTTAATTTTGAGACACGGTCTTGCTGACTCACTAAGTTGCCCGGGCTAGGCTCAAACTTGCAGTCCTCCTGCCTCAGCCTCTCAGAGTGCTGGGATTACAGACATGTGCTACTTCACCCAGCCCAGACCTGAATTCTTGAGCAATTTGTCAGGGTCCCGGTCAGTAATCTTGCCCCTCAAATATGCCATCTCCACCCCCGTTTCACATCCGGTTACCCTGTGTTGAGGGGGTTGTTAGGTCAAAGTTAACTAAGCTTCACAAATGTTAGGCTAAACCTCAGCTTCCTTATCGTAAATAGGTATGACCATACCTTTTCCATGATGTTGTAAAGAAAATTAAAGACAATATATAGTATTATATATTATATACGTGTGCACATGATATAGATAAAATTCTCAGCATAGTTCCTGGCATTCGGGAAGATTCTGAGTATGTTTAGAACAAAAAAGATTCAGCAACAGGGGAGGAGCCTGGGGGTGGAGCTGGATGGAACCCACTGCCTGGAAGGAGCTGGAGAGGAGACCACAGCCCTGTGTCTTCTTGGGGTGGGCTCTTGGCCGAGGCCGTCACCCTGGAAACCCACCTCCCGAGTCTGCCAGGCCTCTTCCCCAGGGCGCAGGCCGCCCTTGCCAGCCTCCCCCCAGGCCTTTGTCAAGCCTGGCTCTCCCAGCAGCCCGTGCTGCGTGGAGGTTTTGTGACGGGCACAATTCGACACTCTGAGGAGACCACCCAGCTTCCTCTCCCAGAGTCTCGGGAGGACAGAACCATCCCTCTGTGTTCCAGCGACCTCCCCCTCTGCCCGGCCCCCTCCTGCTGTCCTCCGTGGCCAAGGGGACACAAGGGCCAGTCGGTGGGAACCCAGGGGACCCAGCGCTAAAGCTCCGTTGGAGTGCGAGGCCCAACTCCATGCCTGGGATGCTGCTGCCACCCTGTGGCAAAGGCCTGACGGCCCGGAGCAGCACAGGACAGAGCGAGTGGACGCAAGGTACATCTGGCTGCCCTGTCATCGGAGTACAGAGGGAAAATGAGGTTCCTTCCCTAATTTGGTTAACATACATTT